TTGAGATGTCGAAAAAGTGCACGCCGTTGTGGTGCGAAATACATTTCGAAGTCAAAATATACAAAACACCTCCGTGTCGGACTACTTTTGGAAGTTGAGATGTCGAAAAAGTGCACGCTATTGCGAAGCACATTTCCAAATTAACATGTTTAAAACACACCAGCTCCGGACCACTTTTGGAGGTTCGGATGATGAAAAAGTGCACGCCGTTGTGGCGCGAAACACATTTCGATGTTAAAATATACAAAATACCTCATAATCGCGCTACTTTTGGAGGTTCGGATGTCGCTTCGCTTCACTATAGTACACTACAGGACATTACACTACACTACACTCCAATACGCTACATTACTCTAAAGATAGACAGATAGACAGCTAAACATTAGATAGATAGATGGATAGACAGATAGACAACTAAACAGATAGACAGATGAAAGAAAGAGAGATAGAGAGAGAGATAGATAGATAGATAGATAGATTGATCGATAAATAGATAGATAGATAGATAGATAGCTAAATAGATAAATAGATAGATAGATACATAGATAGATAGATAGGTAATTAGATGAAAGAGAGAAAGAGATAGATAGATAGATAGATAGATAGATAGATAGATAGATAGATAGGTAAATAGATAGGTAATTAGATGAAAAAAAAAAATAGATCGATAGATATATAGATTTATAGATACATAGATACATAAATTTATAGATAAATAATTAGAAAAAGAAAGAGAAAGAGAGGAGACCTCAAATACCTTTTGGTCTATTAATAATTTCTCTCTGTGATCCCTTATTTATAATAACTAAATTCTCCTATAGGTTTCCTATTTTCGAAATTTCCGCCTCCGCCTTGTACAATATTACTGCTATTATTAATAACAATAACACCAATACCAATTTCTTTTCTTACTCCTACCTACTTCTTGTCCTACTCCTACTCCTATTCCTACTCCTACTACTAATAATAGTAGTACTATTACTACTAAGACTACTAATACTACTAGTACTACTAATACTACTAATACTACTACTACTATGGACTACTATGGACTACTATGGACTACTATGGACTACTATGGACTACTATGAACTACTATGGACTACTATGGATTACTATGGACTACTACGACTACTACGACTACTACGACTACTACGAAGACTAGTACAACTATAAACACATTACATTACACAATGCTACATTACACTGATTATATTACATTACACTACAACTATAACTATAACTACAGGCACAATTACCACTACATTATACTATACTATTTTAAATTACACATACTACACTACACTATACCACACCACACCACACTACATTACACTACACTACATTACGCATACTACACTACATTTCACTACATTACACTACACTACACTAATTACACTGCACCACACTACAACTACAACTTCACTAGATTACACTAATTACACCGCATTACAC